TTTTTCTCCTACTGCCGTATAATACGAAGTACCGGGGATGGGGCCAATATGTGTCTTAAAAAGCGTTACTCTATCATGGGGTGCGTGAATTCTGTTGAACCTACTGACCACATATTTTCTGGTACGCGCTATTTGGTGGCTGGCCTGTTCGGAAAAGCTGAAGATCGATGATGCCCTAATTCCGAAATCGCGAGTGGACAGCTATATATAGACATGCTTCTTGTTCACTATAATAAAACCTAAGGGCCGGAGCATTAGTAAGACCTGATGCTTGAGTTCTTACCTGGGTGGTTCATCATTCATGTGTGACACAGTGCTTCAACGGAATATAGGTTATCTTGAATGACCAAGAGCGTTCTGTTAGTTTCCTCATATCAAAGCTTATAGACAATCTTGATATCATCGGGGAATAAACGTGGCTCACGGTTTTATACGAATGTGTTGATGTCACTTATGTAGAGCAGGAACAGTAAAGGACCCCACGAACGATGGGGGGTGGAGAAGAGAAACAGTCACCTAAGGTGACTACCTGGTGTCGACCACTCAGGTATGATAATAACCAAAATAGTAATTTACTCCGAAACCCAAAGGCCTATAAGTTTGTAACTATTGTGTCAGGCCGTTCTATAGCAAACAGTAGGCCATTCCCAGTAAGGAGGAACGAGCAGAACGAGTAATCGACAAAAGCCGATGGTTATTTCAGAGGAAAGCGTGAACCATATGCCAGTTAATGTATATTGGATAGTCTGCGCTTGTTCTCATTCGATCCATCAGGGTGGTTGATTTCAAATCGACAATGGTCTGTTGATCGATATCTTTCCGGTGTACTGCGATCTGACCGTTGAGCAACAGTACAGTTTGGGCTAAGCTCGCTCTGGTCTTTGAAGCAAGCGGTTGAGTGGCAACGATTCGCAAGCACCATTGGCCTGCGCTTGATAAACCTACGCTCATTGCGCTTCCTTTAGCTCGTACGGAAAACGATTTCCGATTTGCATTAAGCTGTAACGAAGCTGCTGGCTTTGCGTCTATGCTGGGGTATGATAACTGCCTTTGGCGCTAGGTTACTAACCGTTCTGACCTTAGTAGGCCTTTACATTTCGAACGCCACCAACAGGATATCAAGACTAAGAGATCCATCAACACTCAGTTGTTCACGACAAAACGTTCGACTGACTTGGTTAGCGTAGCGCCACCACAGCAGCGGACCTACCTGGATGCGCCCAATACGCCTAATAATGACACCGGTGTCCTATCTTTGTTGGCCATAGCGATAGCTCCTAACTCACACATGACCTTCTGGTTAAGGCGTCCGTTTTTCCTATATTACAACCGACTGCTGGCCCGAAACTATTCGGATACCATCACGTGCTAGAGGTAATTTGCGGATCATCAGCGCCGCGGCTGGCGAGCAGCCATTCGGATTTCGCGGATTTGCAGTTGCTCTGTAGTTCAGTAGGAATGTATTTAGTATCTCCACTGCCGTTCCCACCCCTTGGATTCCATTAGGGCACGTTTAAATATGTTCGACAAATATCTCGACCTGCCCACTTGATTGTAGATCAAAGGGAGGTGTTTGATGTGGGTGATGCCGCATTTCTTTTTGAAGTCAATGCACAACTGGGGAGTGAAATGCGTATCGTTGTCAGTGAAGACTGTCCCTGGAAATCCAAAAATAGAAAACAGCTGTTGTAGTTTTGCAAGCGTTGTAGTTGCCGTGGTTTGGTCCATGATAAAAATTATTGGGGACTTGTTAAAGGCATACATGACGACGAGGAAACTTGGTCTGTTAACTGGTCCAGCATAATCAATGTGGAAAGGTACCAATGGTCGCTCTGGTTTTGATCAAGGTTCGAAAGTTCAACTCTGCCTAAGAGGTATATTACTGCAAACTCCGTGTACGCATGTTCATTCTCATCTTTTGGAATCATGGAAGGGACAAAGGAGTAACAGAACGCCTCACAAACTGCAGCTCAATCATGAGGTAAGGGGCCCACATTGGTAATAATTTTAGTAATCAAAGGAGGACGGTCACTGAATCTACGACGCCACTTTTGGCAAGCTTCCTCTCCTAACAGCTTGTTCGTAAGGCTATCTGTTTGTCATTTTTAGGCCTTATTGACTGCGCGTGTTTGACGCTGGTGTGGCATTTGTGCATTTGTAAAATCAGTGAAATCGTTGATCTTATGGGGTCTGACAACTAGTTTTCAGTTTTTCTAGCTGACTGAGCATTCGACGGCATCTTTGTAGGCAGTGACAATATGATAAGGCTATGAAGCAAGGAAGACTATACTGCGATGAATCTGATGTAACCTGTACCACAGTAGTGGATACACTAGTAAATAGAAAGGACACATCCAAGGCAGAAGAGCAGATTAACTGTTGTAGTGTTTCCACTTTATTTGTAGGTTGCACGTTGCGGAGTAGAGGCGGGGGCTTAGTGAGCATTGTAACGAGCAAACTGAGTTATATCGGCTTATGGTAACTACCAAGAAGACTGCTTAGGATCTCGGGCTGTACCATGAGGGCCAACAATGTGAATATGATGTCTAATATATTGACTGACCCGTTTGGACTGTTAACCCATTGTGTCCAGCCACCTGCTCCGATGGAAGAAGGAAAACTTGTGTGCAATGATGGCAAGGGGTGGGATGGCCAGCTTAGTTATGGTAGGTAGAAATCACTAGAAATTATCTCATATATTTGTGGTGATTCTGATGAGAATCAGAGGCAAATCACTTATGACGACACTCATGGTAGACCCATCCGTGGATTGTAGCGATAGGCGAGCAGTATGTAAGAGGATGGGCTTGCACCTGACAACCACACGGATGCAGGGACATTTTCTTTTTGCGAGTAGCTTATATGTTGCATAGTAACTGTTCTGTGTACGTATAGGATAGATCATCCGCCTTTTCTGATGCAACGATCTTTTCGAAACAGGTCGCCGTTTGGAATCATCAGAGTAGCGAGAATTGAAACAAAAGAGCACCATGTTTCACTGACGAGGATCGACTGTAGGCCATTGTACTGTGCACGTATATAAAATGTGGAGTTCCTTGGCTATGAATCTGGCATAAAACCTAATCTCTGAAAACGTAATATTTATTGGGGAAATGCAGCTTTCTGTTGCATGGTCATCTGAGTATTTGGATTCGAGCATGGTACACATGGTAGGTAAGTGCGAGAGTGCTGGACTCGAGTCAGCCACTATTAAGTTTTGTAGTATGGACAGCTCGCCACATGCAAATGTCAAGATAGCTGGAGGTACAAAACTATCCGAGGCATAACCGTTAGGCTGCCGCTGGCCTTGTACCGAATTAGCATTATCATCTGGACAAATTGCAGCATGTATTATTTTCCCTGGCTACGTGCAACAAGCTTAGTTCTAAGTATAAACTTCCGAGGAGATGTTGCGTCAATGTGCGCATAACTGCAGTCAAGTCGTCCGAGAATGATATCATGGACATCACAATTCTTACACCTGCTTGGTGAAAACCAATTATAACGTTCTATCAATGTGCACGGGTCAACGCAAGAAATTAGTAGTGCTCTAACAAATGTACGATAACAGATAAGTAACTCAGGGGAAACCACTCGAATTACTTTCTAAGAAACGTTTAACATAAAGGCTGTACCCGCATTTTGTACTACATATACCTTAGATTACCAAAAGAACACTGAGGGTATACTTGCAAACACATAAGATTACTTTCTTGGAACGACACAATGAAAAACCAGACGGCCTAAAGCACAGAATGTAGTATCTTTACTAAACTGAACTTAGCAGCACATAAATTTGCATATTGCTCGCTACTACGATTGAACTCAGTCTGTATTAATAATTTCACTTCCACTTAGAGGGGAAGGAATTACAACATCTAACTTATATGAACCCGAACCAAACTAATCAATCCTTTGGCAAGGATCAGTCTAGTAGTTAAAGAGCGACGTTTTGCTATTTATGATTAGCACTGGGTAATAGGAGCTAAATGCATCCTAACTAGCAATGAATCTGTTTTATCAATGTTTAGTCGAAATGTAAATCTAACTAGCCTACCGATAAAACCACTTCACAAAAGCATACGTTTTCACTTTTCTGTGTGTGCGTCTAAGCCAAGAATTCCAGTTGTCGCGGAGTCCATTTAATAGCCTAACGGTGACGAAAAGTCGAGAAAAACAGTAGCTGTACATTTAATTGCTTTGTAACTAAGTGGCCGTAGAGGTCGAGCTGACACTTTGTGTGAACCAAACCGCAGCAAATCAACATGGAATATTGTGCACTGCAGCGTAGAAGTAAGTGATTCGCACTAGATATGTGGCACTGGCATTTTACCAGAGTATCTGTTGAACAGCTGCAGAAATTGAGAAGCATTGATTCAGCTTTTACATCTAACAAACCCTGACATACCTTTTACAAAAGCTTTCTTTGTCTAACTTGAGAAACCAGACAAATTAAAATGATTTCAAATGCATCTAAAGCCAACTGTTTCCCTGACGTTTTGGTAAAAAAATAAAGGCTTTGCATCTTAAACTATCAGAATAGTAAAAGCAGTGCGCAACAAACGGTAAAATAGGTTTTGCCACATGTAGTAGTTGTGTTATTTTGCTGAGTTACTATACGCCACAATATGTTGACCGACCTCTGAGTAGCTACTTGTCTCTGCTTGTTTGTTTACCCATAGTACGGCACATATCAAAAACCCAGAAGCTGATAAAAATCAGATCGCCAATACTCCATATTGGGAATTCGTTTATGAATTGTGACCATAAAGACAGATTTACTATTCAACGCGGTACACTATATTTCCACGATAAACAAAGGTGCTCGAGCCTAAGCATCTGCGACATTCTAATTTATTGTCTCTGCACAAACAGCAGTGGCATCTGTCACAGGTTCTTTAAAGTCCGCAGTTAATTCTAGAGTGTTTTCCTATCTGGAGATGTAGTGAATGATGAAAAGGTAGTTTCATCATCCGCTTGATTATGAGAAGGCACCTCACCTTTTGGTTGAGTAACTTCCAAGTCTGCATCCTCGCATTCCGAAGCAGCGTCCAAAAGAATCCAGTGTAGTGTGTAGAGAAGTTTTGTTTCCGCTTGACTAAACTGCAGAGGTCCTCTGTCAACGCTGCTCTGAAGCTGCTCAGCTCGTGTTTGCTTTTGAGATTGTTGTGTATCCGCAAATGTTGTTCGCAACTTTTCTCGCAACATAATTGCACCACAGTGCAAAACATGTGGAAAGGATGCTCTGATAAATTGCCATCTTGGCATAGATTGAATGGCTTCACAGAGCACGATTGATCTTCCATGTAGAATGTTTTGCACAATCACTTTTTCAAAGGTCTTGTAAGTTGAGTAAAAACAAGTTATTCTGTCAGTTACAGCAGATACAAAGTGAGTTTGAAGAATTTTAAGATAAAGCGTAAGGAATTAATAGTCCAAGCACCTAGAATAATATTTCAAAGAACTCAAGGCGATGGTAAATAAAACTTTTAACAAGCAAACAAAACCCGTTAACGATATAAACGGTGGTACCTTAAGTTCCTTTTTTTACATATTAGGTAAAATGATCATTATGTATCTAGATGATAAAATAGTAAAAACAACGTAACCGTTTACCTAGGTAGACTAAGCATGCTTTCTTTGATAATGGCACAAGGTATTTATTCAAAGCTTTTCTCCTTAATGATGCAGCTATTCAGTAGGGCTGACCAAAATACTTAGACATTTTCAGAGCAAACAGCTATAACAGGCTATATCCACTTACAAATTCTATCAAATAGTGCAACATGATTAGTTAGTTCAACACAATTATAAATTAATAACGGCTTTTCTCGGTGCATGTCATTTACTTATGAAAACAAAGTGTACCACAATGATTATTAAACCTAGGCTGTTTTTATGTCGAACATGCGTGAGGTATACTGGAGGGGACACAAAAGTAGTGCTACTCAGTAAGTGTAAATCCACCATACAAATACTTATAGCTTGTTTAATCCTAATATAAATTGCTGTCGAATAACTGGAAAGGTGTATTGAAAAAAATGCCGTAACATAACGCAAAATAAGAATGTTAAGTGAAATACCTGAAAATAAAAACAGCAATTAAAGCTAGGTAACGTACGGCAAAAATAGACGTATACATTGCAATATATTCGATATTACAAAAAACGTGCGCCTATAAAGCGCACACTAGTAATTACATACAGCATAAATGTTCAAACTGCTTACGTTTAAAAGTTTTGCTCATATCTTTCGCTTTGGTTATTACCTTAAACGTCAATTTCGCTGCAATTTACTAGACAACATGTAAGTTCTTCGATAAAGTCTATTTTTAGACACATTGCAGTAAAGGGTAACCCATTTAAAAGCAAGACATTAACCTAGTCTAAATAACTACCTAAACGCGTTTACCAATCAGTCATATCACTGAACTTTGTCTGGCTGTTCCATAATATTTTCCAACAAGAGGGGTGCACAAAAGAATAATATAGTATTTATATGTATATATGTGGTGCTTTCCTAGAAAACATAGGGGTACAATGATATTTACAAAAAACAAAACATATACCAGGATTAAATTCGAAAACACTTGCAGACCAGCAATGACTAGCAGTTCAGCTGTAGCTATCTTATTACTTACTTTGTAAGCCTGTGACCATTTGCATTTTATCATACCATGATTTCTATATCGCCAATTTCAATGGGATGCACTGGAAACATTTGTGCAGAACTACTGAACGTTTATTAATAAAATGGATAGTGGCCAACTCCCTGAAACGCATGCGTGTTTAAATGATCCAAAAGTTAATATTTTGTTGTATTTTTGCTAGTGATAGCGGTAGTGAACAAAAATGAAGGCCAAACACAATAGTCATGGTGCAGTGAGCATAAAATTGACTTTTTGGTTTCTGTAATGTACTTACCGTAGTTAAATAACTATGGCTGCATCGTATCACAAATACGGAACAGACACTGGATTTAAGAAAAATCGATACATAAATAGAACTAAGTTTAAACCCCGTTATCAACGCAACTACACTTAAATGTATTCTATATCTCGGCATCAGCACGTTAGTAAAATTCAACTAGCGTAAAAGCAGCCTAAGTTGCTCACGAAGTGAGCTGCATCAATTGGTCAACATACGCGATAAACATACAAGCAATGAAAAAGGAAATCATATAGAGTGAGTATTCATATAGTTGTGGTCAACGTCGGTGATTTTACTGGATGTGTAAAGTTTAAGGCCCTGGCTGCCAAGGTGAATACATAACCTCACCGTGCTGCATGGCTGTTTTAACATGTCACTTTAGGCATTGCTTTTTCTGGGGAGCCAAGACTTAGTTTGTAAAAGAAAAGTAGTCGGAATGGTACACCAAAGTCATCACACAAAACGTATTGCGAACGAAAGTAAACTAATCAGCTGTCATCTAACATTTAAAAATGTAAAATAATAAGGTTAAAATCAAGAAATCTTTGTAAATTTGAACAAGCAGAAAAAAGCAAACTATCCTTGAGTTGTGTAGGCACAGGCACGGTATCAATGACAGAATGCCGCGGTCATACAACAAATCCAAACATTGGCGACTAGAATGATATCAAGTCAGCGTGAGAGACCATGCGGTGAACATCTTAGGTGTGTAAAGTTGCACGTTATGAAAGCGAGCATATTGATAGTTGTACCAAGTCTATCAATCTCTTTTGTACAACTGCATTCGGACACCTGCGGCGGCATGAACTTGTGCTTAAGTATCAGACATCCAGCTAGGAATGAAGGCCAAATTCTTAATACAAATTTGTGTATTTCATTGTTCACACTTTTTTCTTCGATTAACAGTACTTCTGTAGTCGACTTCAAAAAAGGCTTGGATAAGTGTTGGTCGCATCTTGTTCCTTAATTAATGTAAGTTTATTAACCACTGTCACAGATCTCCTAGCCCATAAGCAAAGAAACTATCATTCTACTTGCTCGCACTTTAACTTTTTGTCGAAACACGAGAAGCAAAGCAAGTGGCGCAGTACCAGAAACCGTGGTCTACTTGCTGGTAAAAAGAAAAGAACGATCGTTAGGCAAATCCTAAATCGTCCTTTGAACCTAACCGACCTAAATTGCATTTATGGGAACGTGCTGCACAATACCTTAATCAAACACATTTGCAAAATATTCGGAGCAATCAAAGAGAAATGTGTAGAGGATACAAAGAGCGGTGCGTAATACTCACGGGCATAAGCTATTTGTTTAGTCAATCTCATTTGACAGGTGTAATTAAATATTAAAACACAAAATAGAAAAGAAGATAGGCAGGCATCAATCACAAGGTGTGTAAATGACATCAAAAGGTACACAAACAAGTCATAAAAAGGCATTTTGTGTAAAAAAGATAGCCCCTCTCCGAATATCGACGGATTACTCGACTTGGAAAAAGCAAAACAGGACAAGGTAAGTATTATTAAAACTTTATTATTTTTAGAAATACAACAAATACCGCAAGTATAGGGATATACCAAGTTGTAACCTTATCCAATGCGGTAGGAAAAGGGGTGGCAAAATGTATCAATTGACCAAAACATTGCCCTGTCCGTATAGCTGGACGGCCAGCCGTTCCCTTTAGGTGCGTCTTTGGTCACACGCAAGGGTAAAAAAGTAAACATGAAGCTACATGACGTGTTATGTACCGATAAGTTGTTATGTAATAGTATACAACGGCAACAGCGCCATTCTTTACTTAGCAAGCTTTACTTTATAGCAAAATCGTAACTTTATTCAGCGGAGTAAACGTTTGAGCGTCCTGCGTGACCCATTATGTGCAGATGTTCTGATGAGACTAGAACGATAGGATGCATTCCGTAAGTGTCCAAAATGAGCAGCTTTGGAATAAAGTTCCGTCACACAAAGCCCTTTTTCGTCTAGTCTAATGAATAGTATATTGCTTACTTACAAATTGGAAACCAAGTTTGGCATAATTTTGACGGTATTTGCCAACAGGAAAAATGCATTCACTGTATATAGTAAGGGTGCGTTGGAAAAACATTCTGAGGGACCAAACGTCGTTTACAATATGTCCAATCTGGCTGAGTGTTGGTCAGTCAAAACCAATTTTTGGTTAAGCCTAACGAATATGGCATTGCGTACTTACAAATTAGGAAAGGATTTCCGCTTAATGTTAAAACTATTTGCAACCATCTACGATACATTTACGGTATAAGGTAAGGAGGCATCAGAAAAGGATTCTGTGTGACAAAAGGTCGGCCAAAACGTGTTCAATTGAAACGGCCAATGGCACAACAATTCGTCGGCCAGCGGCTTCAACGGTTACTCCATATGTGTTATCCTAGAGGCGAATGGGCGAAAGTAACCATATCAAGACGGTCGATACGCAAAGGACCCTAAGTTAATGTGACAGGCGTCAAAAAGAAACCAATTCCTGTTATCGGTCATTAGCACAAAAGTAATTGCTTAGTACTCATGGTTTGGGAATGTTGTATCCGCATTAAAAAGTTCTCACAATATATATTCGTTATTTTGTACATTAAAGATACCCTTATAGCCTCGGATAGCATGGTATAAACAGAAGTACTACATTGCTTTTAATGACATATTGATGGTGAAAAGGGGAAATCCAACCACTACTTATTGTGCAAATTTTCATGTATGCTCACCATGCAAATTCCCTCTCTTGCTGATGGATTCTGCAGGAAGGAACTGCAAGTGTGTTATTTATATACCTGGCACTTACAAAGTATGCGACATCAAAAAGCTTTGAACTGGTAATGGAATATACGTATCCGGCTTCATCTTTCGAAAAAAACGACGAAGAATTAGACTACTTAAAACTCCGCAGTAAAAAAGGACGACCTTGAACCAACTCCATTACTAGCAACAAACAAGCATACAATCGCTGAATGCATCATTGAGTTCAGTAAGTTCATTCATTGAGCTGCTTTGGGAAAAAGGGAGGACCCATGCTGGCCCATCACCTCCAGTTCTGCATAAAGACTAAATATATCAGTGCGACCCGGTATCCCTCAGTTAACGGGATCAGTCGTAGTAGGAGAGTGGGGCCTTGGTGTCTTGCTTAAATGCATATCTATAAGTCCTTTGGAACTTTCCTTGGTCGTCACGTCAACAAACGTCTCCGGAAGACGATTCCAGTCATTCACTACCCAAGTGGAGAAGGTGACAGCGGTGCCGACTTTGAGCCTCCTCGGTTTGAATAGTTTACTGTTGTGACCTCCTTTAGAGCTACCTACATTGAGCTGAAAACGTTGTTGTAGCTCGTCCCCAAGTTCTCATGCTTGTAATGCGCCTCATAAACGTGCGTTCTCCACGACAGAGACCGTATTCCATGGGGAACAGCTTCATCGCACGAAGCTGGAGGGAGTAGGGAAGATCACGAATCCCCGAGACGGATTCAGAGCTAAAACACTGGACCGTTCGATTAAGCCATGCTTTAACTTAGGGTATGGAAATGTAGCTGACATCCTATACTTACATGAAACGAAGAGGAGCCTGAAAATCTTCGTTGTTCTTCGAGAGAAGGAACTTTATGGCACCGTAGCGGCAACCACTTTCAGTGTAACCTGTGTGGTTTCTACAGCATGTGCCATTATTAAGCCTAGACCTTTCGCTTAGGTGACGGGTTTGAAAAGGAACCAGCTAGTGTGCTAAGTACTAAGTAGCTCAGAATCTCCGATGAGTAGTGCGCAGCATGTTTCGTAGTGTATTGCTAAGCACCACTTGATGGACCAGTTAGGCAACAGATCAACGGTCCCCTATAGTCCATCAGCAGCGTCAAGGTCAGGCAGTTAAGACCACAGCTCGCGGACATTGGCGTAGATCAAGAATTCGGGTTGGAGTGTAGCTGGCAGACCAACGATATACGGTTTTAACAGTAAAGGTCCAAGGACGGCTCCCTGTCGTACACCGCTTGTCTTGAATATTGCCTTGTAAAGCGTCTCGTTTACGCTCCATTGCTTGTTCCAACCTACCAAATAGGCGGTATTCCATGAGTAAAGGCTGCTGCTGATACGATTTCCGATGGCTTCAAAAGTAATCCATGGTTTGGGACTTTGTCAAACGCTTTGCGAAAATCGGCGAAAACTACAGCAACACATTGGCCGGAATCAATTAACTTCGCTTACTATCCTCGAGCCACCAGTATGTTAGCGGAGTAGGAGCGTCCCTTCTGGAATCCAAGTTGGTTACAGGTAAATAAATAAATAAACTTTTATTATTGACAAGGCGAGACACACCTTTACAGGCATGATCATGCTTAGCTAACATTGTGTGATCAAAAATGTACAAAAAGTACATATTTGGCATAACAGTGAATGTAAGTGTATGGGTGTATATACGTATGTAATTGTCTATGAATGTACTTATATTTTAGAATGTGCCGCAGAATTTTTACTCGTTTGTTATCGGCAAGAATGTGAGAATAAGCGATTGATGTGCGTGGGTTGAATACCATTTTCCGGATGTCACGGGCCAGTGACTTTAGTTTGTGGCGAGTCACATCCTCCACGTCACAGTGTTGATAAGCAGATATTAGTGGCTGTTTATAGGGAGAACGCTTGCCGGGCGAAAACCCACCACGTCCTGGAACATTGCCGTTGAACTATTTGCTGGAACTGGTTAAACCAGAACCACCCAGCTGGCACCACGAGGAGGTTGTTCGGCTAACCAGCCAGCAGTGTTCTGTAGAGTGATTTGAACGATCTCTTCTATGACTTTACAGACGATGGAGGCCAAGCAGCTTGGACGATAGTTCACAGGGTCTTGACGATTTTCTCCTATTACTTGGGCATTATGATCCCAGTTTTTCAGTCGATGGGTAAATGACCGGACTTGGAAGACAGCTAAAGGTCATGGCAGATGGGGAGACAACCTTGTCAGCCACTATCTGGATGAAAATGGAAGTAAATAGTCAGGGCCAGGTGAGTAATTCGGGTTAAGTTCAAGCAGAAGTTGCAGAATTGTGTCCGGCCTTAATTCCGTAAGTTCTAGGCAGTATATTTGTGGGTTGACTGAGCTTGTGGCGAATATCCGAAGTAGTCGTGCTGGACAAATCGATGCGCTTTCTCATCGTCTTAGTCGAGGGCGCTTCCTGTCGAGCTGAACGATAGAGCGGGTATGTGATAACTAGCACTGGTTGTCGTACAATATAAGCAAAGGGATTTTTAGTCCATAGGATTATTGTTCTACAAAACCGAGTACAAAATTTTGTGTTCTCTCACACGTTACTTTAGGACACGGGTTCCTAATTGCCCCTAGTTCGTGTAATTATTCTCCAGTCCAGTGAACTTGAATTTGTCCTATCGTTTACGTTGCTGGTTTCCTAGAGCTGCAATTGAAAAGTACGTTTGCAGCACAAAGGGAAAAGATGACATAACCATTTGATTTTGGTGTGTCATCCTTTGTGAAGGGTCACCTCCAAGTAACTCATGTAATATCAAGAAAAGCGCCATACGTTGATGTGAGGCTATATTCAGTTGGCATATTACATATATATATATATAACAAAACATGGACTGTTAAACAAAAAGAGAGTATAAACCAAAAGTAGTGCATATTTTGTCGAGTAATCGACAAATTCATTGGAACATCGTTGCATTCAAGAGGATCAAATGCAGGACCGGCAAACCTACAATACATAACCTTTGTAGAAAGAGTACAGACGTCGCGATCCTAATTCCTTCCATATTCTTTTCCATTACCTAACATGTCGACTACACCTCTCCATTCCTTCGTGTAACCCACTCTCCAACTAGTTCCGTCTACGTTCCTTGACATATTTATTACCTCGCATTCCCACGATCCCAACTTACATATACAACTGTCTAATTTCTTTTAGGATTGGCAACGCCATGCTCTGTACCGATTAAGGCCGTTTAGTGATGTGCACTCCTCCCCTATTTTGCCTGACCGCTGACCATTTGTTCCCAGCGACTATGCCAGTCTGATCATTCCTTCATTTGTGCATGTGCACCTGTAGATCAGTTAGTAAACGCTCGAAAAAGGCTGTATTCACGCCCAATTAGACTTACTCTGTCCGCATCTCTTGCGTGCTCAACCGATTCCACCGCTTTACCCAGCTTATAAACCCACCACGCGCATTTGTGCCGTAGCTTCGTACAGCGGACGCTCTGCAGCTGGACTTGTTGAATCGGACCGAATTGATATCCATTGTAACTGTTCTGAGATTGCAAACATAATGGTTGAAATACTTATTGTATATGATCATTTTTCCTGTGTGCATATTACCGTTATGCAGTTCAGGACTTGATAACTTTGCTTTCGTTAGAAACGCATCACACGAACATTCTAAGCGAAACTTGTTGCCTTCACCCTTAATATCCTAAATGTTATCGAACGAGCGTACACTTATGGAGACAATGGCTATTGCCTGGCCGTCTAACGATCAAACATTGTGCATACGGATCGGTTTTAATATCCAGGGTGTAGACATTTACACAACTGTCCTAATGCCAGGCACCTTTGTTTGTTACTATCGCGTAAGAATGCAATCAAACCAGCTGAATGCAAAAACAGTTTGCGAGAAACCATAGAATAATATTTACTTAGCAGCAGGTTACGAAATTATAAGCATGTGCAAGCCGAATAACTTGTACGCAACCTATTCCATTTTTCTAGAATCCGTAGTTATCCTGCCTTTACCAACTATATACTAAACAGCTAGTTCGTTCTCGATTGTTTCATGGTACTCGACCCTTACCATGGTCAGAAAATTACAAGGGTTTATGGACGATCAGGCACAATACGCCAATGATTAATATGAAAGTTTATATTGTTGGGCTGTAGGTTACGATGCTGCAGGGTCTATGTCTAAGGAAACCCAAAAGAGAACTGAATCCGGCGGCTTACGCACTACGGTGAGCACAGCGAACGCATAGTCTCAGGACCTAAACGGCGTATGACGCAGAGCATGTACGGCAGTGTTCCACTAAGCAGCATCTCAACTGGACTGGAAGAAAACCTTTTATAAAAGTCCTTGTTTGATAACGCTTTTAGCTGATCGTTAGAATGTAGGGAATAGCCTATTTCATCAAGCTTTCTTCCAGGTACCGAGGTCACTGCGCTTTTGTTTTCATGAACTACTTCTGCAAGTGCGTAAATAAAGACATATCGGTATTTTACTACAATTCCTAATTGTTGGCTGTAGGAACGCAGCATTTATGCTTATTAAGCGGTTTGCAACCCTGCACATACATGTTTCAGGTAGGAAGGCGTACGCTTATGAGAAAGACTGCCATTCAGAGCATATGATATCAGGATGTGCCTCGTTCTGTAAAGTATGACACTTATTTATTTATTTACTTATTCCAAAGCCGAGTAATGCGCTCCATAGCTCTAAATCATGTTTGCTTTGTTGAATGCTTAATGGACTATTTAAAGCTAGGAACTCTGAAAATCACATAAATTATTTTTCTTTGCAAAAATGTGCGACGTTAAGCGCTAATCTACATTGAACCTTATACCATTGTTTACCAGGTAGTGGGGCATTTTTCTAGGGAGTGGCTAATTTCGTACTGAAATATTGGCCTGAAGCGGCTTTGTGTTCCGGTACGGCTGGCCAAATGCTGATGCTTTCATGACTGGATATGAAAGAGATGTATATGTGACGCTTTGTGCGTAAGTATGTTCAAGAAATGGTGTTTGATCAGATTTATTAGTTGTGAATTTCACGCTGTTTTTAATGAGGTTAGCTGGAGGTCAAATTGGTTACCGAGCGTCATGTTGGTTGCCACTGCTGCCTTTTGCCGTATGAGCTGCGA